GGATTAGTACAGGAGGTGCAACATCAAAGTATCAGGGCTTCCAGAAAGAAAGAACAGAGAAAATGAAGAGGAGGTAATAATGAGTGAAATAATTTAAAAATATTTCCCATAATTGAAGGACAGAGATTGCTAGATGGAAAGGACTCACGAGTGATCAGTATAATGGAGAAAAATAGGCCCATACTGGGATTAAGCTATCAAGAAAAATACAATGTATATTCTAAGTATGCCTTGGAATACACCTACACTAAAAAGTGACCATTATTTATCTGAAATTCAAATTTAAATGGGCATCCTGTATTTTATCTGGGAAGCCTACATTGACCTTGTCATTACCAGTAGTGGCAATTCCTCATAATTTCAATTTCTAACAGTCCAGATCACCACTGCTCATCTATCCAACTTCTGATATTCTAAACCCAACAATCACTCAACAATATAAGGACCTAAAATGCATTTATCCCCACACCTTTTTACTATCATTCCATCACCCCCTCAAATCTTCATGCCTTGTCCAGCTTAAATTTTAGTTAATAAGTTATATTCACTGCTTCACAAACATCCTAAATTCCCTTGTTCCTCTTTAAATTTCTTGACCTTGCTTGGCTAAATCACAGCGCTCATTCAATTAAGTATTGTACCTGTGTAAACCGCACGTGGCTGGACATACACACATGCAGAGAATAGTCATTTTAAATTTAAGATAACAAACCTCATGGCAGGCCCTTGATGCCAACTATTATACTATATTTCCCTAGACCAGTAGTTCTCAAAGTGTGGTCCCCAGGCCAGCAGTACCAATGTCACCTGGGAACTTGTTAGAAATGGAAATTTTTGGTTGGATTCAACCCCAGACTTGAATTAGAAAATCTGGGACTGGAGCCTAGCAATCTGGAGTTCAACAAGGGTTCCAGGTGAGTCTGATATACTGGGTCTCACATTTTAGCATGAGAAAAATGAGCTGTAAAGCTTGTTAAAAGGGCAGTACAATGGCAGCAGGGATCTTAGTAATTTGTGAGAACATCAGCAAAGGTGCAAATGCCAGGAATGTTCATTGTAACAGGTAACAATTCTTGGTTTAAAAAAAAAGTCCATGCATACATTAATTCAATAAATACTTATGAAGGGGTATTATGTATCAGTATAAATTTCCAGTAAATGACACTTATGGAATCTAGGTTTTATGGATAATTTGTCAGACTTAAATCACTACACAATTTCCTAAAGATTATTAACATTTATACTTTTTTTTTTTTATATTTTATTTATTTGACAGAGAGAGACACAGCGAGAGAGGGAACACAAGCAGGGGCAGTGGGAGAGGGAGAAGCAGACTTCCTGCCGAGCAGGGAGCCCGATGTGGGACTCGATCCCAGGACCCTGGGATCATGACCTGAGCTGAAGGCAGACGCTTAACGACTGAGCCACCCAGGCGCCCAACATTTATACTTATGTGAACATAATCTAGTATACTTTAAATTCATTTTCAATTATTTTTCACCATTAAAAATAAAACAAATTCAAATTTTATTTTAAAATATAATTTATTGAATACCATAGTGAATTCAATACATTAAAAAAATTGTTTTTCTTATCAGTATTGGCACATAATGAAGTTTTAAAGCACTGCTAAATTAACACCAAAAAATTTTAAATTTCAAATCATGTTCCATAAAAAAATAAAGCCTAGTAGTGTTATAAAACTATTAATTTATACCAACTCACATATCAAAGTGTTAAAAAAAAAGAATTCCACACTCAAACTGTCCTCTAAGAAGTAAAAATTCAATCATATGTATTTTTAAAAAGGTTCTCATTTGAACAAAATACAGTAGGTATAAAATAGGGAAAAACTTTACACTGATTTGTCCTACTGGGAAATTCTGCAGGCTAACCAGATAAACTTTAGATATTAAAAAAATCCATATTCCAAAGGAATAGAAGTTTACAGTATTTTTTATGCCTAATCAAAGAAACATACGATGACATTAAATATTCTTTTTTCTCTTAGTTGCCTCAATTGCCAATACAGGACTGTTCTAAAATTTAGTTTAAAAATAATTTTCCTGCCAATGAATATTTTCATAGATGCAAAGGTGTCCTTAAATATGGCAACATTAAACAAGGAAATTTACATATATGGTGTTCACTATAATATGGCCTATATATTACTCTATCAATCATTTTGTTTACCATGCGTACTACACAATTTCTTTCCAATTCCAAAAGGTTGAGTAATTTGATTCGGGTCACTTGAATTTACAGAGTATCTTTCTTTCCAGGAAGCAAAAAGTGATTTATATTCAGTATTTTGATTTTATTTACATAATCCTCCCCACCCCCCTTTAGAATTGTCCTCTGAGGTAAAGAGAGCACTGAAAATAAAAATTTTAAACTGCAGAATTGGTTATTTGGCATCATTCAACTTTTTTCCTTATTAATGGGAAAACATAGGCCCTTTCAAACTAGTGCATTCCACTGGTCTGAAATGCAATTCCTGTTTTTGAAATCTCATTGGCTGAGATCATCAGGTTGAACTTCTAGAAACCAAGCTTAAATAAAATTAGTTCAAATATTTTTTTAGTCAAACGTAGAAATAATGTTTGCTTATACCTACGGCAGAAATTGAAAGATCAAAGGAACAGTGGAAAGCTCCTTTGTATTTACTTTAAATGTACCATTTCACCAAAACCTCTGTGGACATGAAATTAAACTCTATAAATGCCAACAGCGGATGGGTTAAAATTCTCTCCCTTCAGAAGTAAATCACCAAGTCTACTAAGGTATTGCTAATCTAAAAATCTACAAGCTAGAAGAAAATATAGTGTATTAGAATATAAAGGTCTTTCACCACAAACCTCTTATTTATCTTTGCTGACCTAAACTGAAGTAAAAAATCACCTACATTACAATTTGAGATATTTAGTTCTTTGTTTGATAAGCTACAAAATGTTCACACTTTTCTAAAAAGTAATAAATTATTATCTTTTTGCAATAAGCAATAATACTATATATCCCACTGTTTTAAAGACATATTTAGGAAGAAAACAACTCTCTTCCCCTTCAAGTTATAGGTGGTAGGAGGATGAGAGGGAAAGAAATGACACAGCCTTTTAAAGCCAAGCTTTCATCTCCCTCATCTTCCATTCATTTTGATTTCCAAAATAAGATATTTCTGCACTTTACTGTAATTTCTCAAAATATTTTCAACTAGGTTGCTAGAAGCATTCTTTGAATACAAATACAGTTGATACTGAGAATGGAGAAATTTGTGGAATTTCACTTTTTGTTTCTTATTTTCATTTAATCAATAAGATCTTAATAGCAAACTAGAACAAAGATTTACCTCTGATAACTTATGGTTGGATAAAGTAGAATTTGTATCGAAGAACTAAGATTTCAGATTTCTAAATGTAAAATTTTCTTTAAAATTCTTCATAAAATGTGCTTGAGGCTTCTAAATATCATAAAGTTGGGATGAGTACAGATAATTTTACTAAAAAAGCTATATTTTGGCAAACATTTTATTGATATTATAAATGAAAATACAGTTGGAGCTTTAAAATGGCACTTAATCTGTTCTATCAATGTCTGCCAAAAAAATTAGATTCTTTGGAAAAAATTCAAACTTGATATTATAGAGGCAAAATTAACTCTTACTTGACAGATACTTACCAGTCATTTTGCCATAAATCAAAGGACCCATAAGTATACTAAGTGGAAAGGGGCCAACTGTCAGGGAGCTTCTCTATCTACAATTTAGTTAGCAAAAGTTAAACAAAAGCATCTAATTCCCTCAAATAATAAATTTCTTGCAAACATCAAAGATCTGATCCACTTTTAAAAGGCATTAGCTTTATCTTTTAATCAGTTGAAATGCCCTTGAATGAACGATCCCAGATTTGTTCACAATCTTGTACATTACTTACAAAGAAATGCAAAAATCCTGCTGTGGTTGCAATCACTCATCATTTGGGAATTTCTTAAAATAAAAGACAGTAGAAAGATACTTCGATCTCTGACTCCCAGGATAATGTTCAAGGCCACACTGAGATTCAGCAAAGAATGAAAAAGATATTTTTCAAGTTGGAAAGTACCAGAGTGATTAATTGGTTTAACTTATTCATTTTGCAGATACGAAAATTGAGATACAAGGGTTTTGGGTTAAGATAATTTACTCAAATTCTTGTATTGTCAGTAAATTAAGACTAACCCAGTCTCCTGTTTTGTCTCCAATTCTTTCCTCTGAAGCACACTTTGTGTATTAAACCATCCTCCATCAAAATATTAAAAGATTAACATTGGTTTCCTATGGGGAAAGAAGAGGGAATTAGGAAAAAAAAAAGGTGTCAGTTGAGGGGGTGAGAGACTGTTAGGGATGTTGTACTCAAACAATGAGCCACATATGTTAACACAGAAGTTGATAAAAAAATACTTTTTACAAAATTTCAAGCCTTAATATCAACAGAACCAAACTTCAGAGATAAGAAATGGTGAAACTGAATTTTAGAGTATAGAAATTTAAGCTACCTCTTCAAGAAAAACATACCACTGAAAACTGGATTTCAGTTGCTGTGTCCTTTTAATGACTAGTTCTATATATTGTTCCTTTATATCTGAAAAAATAGTTTAATATAATACATATGCAGACTAAAGTAATTTAGATTTTCAAGTTTAAAAAAGATTGGGGCTTTTAAAAAAACTTATGCTACAAAAATATGCATTTATATATATTCCCAAATTATATTTTCCTAACCTCTGCAGTGGAAAGGTCCAAAATTTCATCGTTGAACTGCCTTCTAACATGGTCTTAAGCAGTTATTTCTACAGAGCATAAAATTTGCATAATTCTTGACAGTAAAAGCTGTTCAAAAACTCACTTTGACAGAAATACTTTTGTCTATTACTAGGAGTTGTAAGAAACATTTCAGTAAGAAAGTACAGGGGTGGGTCAAGACAGTTCTTTAGAAAAATATACTGTATATAATAGATCTTCAAAATTACACAGACCATATGCTTTATTTAATGTGAAGGCACAACTTTAACAGTTAAAAGCAAATGTGTTCAACTATTTGATGTAATTGTCAGTACCAGCTCTTAAAAATATGTATTTGCAAGCATATCACTGAAGATTCGTTAAGATTGTCAATTCAAAAGTCAATTTAAAAAGTCAAACTCTATTTGTAGAAAATCAACTGACACATTATTGCAGGTCTACACAATATTATTGTTGGACAATCTGTTCAGCAGTCACAGGGTTTTCTTCATTTGTTGCGTAGTCCAGATGGTCCATCACCTAGGCATAAATAAAAAATGTCAGGAAATGCAAAATTTCAACTTGCCCTCAATATTCACTACTTTGGCCAAAGGATTCCCACTTTTTAAAAAAGACAGGGAGGGGGCACCTGGGTGGCTGAGCGGGTTAAGTGTCTGCCTTTGGCTCAGGTCATGATCCCAGGGTCCTGGGATTGAGCCCCATGTCTGGCTCCCTGCTCAATGGGGAGTCCGCTTCTCCCTCTCCCGCTCCTCCCACTCATGCTCACTCTCATTCTCTCTTCAATCAATCAATCAATCAATCAATCAATCAATCAATCTTAACAAGACAGGGAGTACTCCATGGAACTGACCACTCCTTTTAGAGCAATGCACTGGTTCAACATCCAGGCTCCTAAGGATATGGTCAGATTGACATGGAAAGAAACTGCCTAATCGTTTGACTCAGGGCCAATCTGATAAATGCTTTCTCTGAATCTTCCACTGTATCCATTTCCCAATATGAACTGGCCTTCATGGTAGTGGAAACTCTACCACCAAAGGAAGATATTCCTGATGCTTATTCCAGGATGCGATTCCAGGCAGTGTTCACTGCTAAAGGTGAAAAAACTAAAAATGACCCCACAGGTCACTGTGAGAATACCTGCTACTTTGGGGACAGTGTAACCTGGTTGACACCTTGAACTAACTGTAAAATAATCTAAGAATGATACATGAAATTTTGGAAATACTGTATAACAAACATTTCTACCAAAACCAAATAAACTGAAGGTACTTAAAGGTCAAATGATTCTCTGAAAATAAAATCAAGAATACATTTGCTATAGACTACTCTAGAGGAATTACCAAACTTTTCTCAAATGGTTACTTCAGCTCTGCTCATCCATAGGCCTAATATATTTTTTTCATATTTGGGACTGAAGGAAAAAGAAACTGCTTACATGTTTTCACTGTGTTCTTCACATGAAATTACTTAGAAATAGGAAAAAGCACCCATTGTCTTTGTGAAGACTGTCAAAGACTTTTAGGTTAGTGATTTTCGGTACTGTGATGCACATATTCCCTTCTTTATCAAGAATTAGAAGAAAGACCAGCAAGATAAATGTTCCTATTTTTGTTAAGTGATTCTAAAAGCTTTAGTGTTTTTTGGAAAAGGAAACAGTGGGATCACTCCCAAATGGGGTCTCTGACCCTGCCACACAAGAAGACCACCACCACATGAGCTAGGCTTTCAGCTGACAACTGTCTCAAGAAATGGAGACAGCTTATAAAGCGCAAACATGCCAGTACTCTATGAGTCATCTCAAGTCCCCCCCAAAATCAGTTTTGAGGTCCTGTATTTGCCAAAGATATCCCCTAGATTAAGACAGTTACATATCCGTAGCACTTCAAGGGGGGAAAACAAAAGCCCAGTTGAGACAGGTAACACATTTATCACACACTTCACCACACGAAACATATGATGACATTGTTGAGGAGTTGATTTTAGTCACCATTTAAATGAGGGAGAGCAAGGAGAAGCATGTAAGATCTATTTAGGTCCCTTCTCTTCTAGCAATTTAGAAGTCCTGGGGGTGAGAAGTTGGAGCTCTTGGGAGAAAGAACGGAGGCAGCCTCAGCAGAATGGATGGTGGGGAAAGCCTCTTCCTTCCCCAAGACCTGCTTCCCCTGGCAACTGTACCCTACTGAATTCACAGCCTATACTCCCTAAATTATCACGTGCCTCTCTTTCCTAATCCTCAGGTACCTCATTGGCACTATAATATAATCCCTAACTATATATATATAAATGTATTTGTTTAAAAAACAAAAACTTTCAAAATCAATTTATTAAGAAGTAAAGATCTATACTCTGTATTTACTTTTCTTTACCAACTTTTCAATAAAAGCAATATAGAAACATGAAGAGCAACCTTGAAATAGGTTTTTAAAAACATAACAAAAATTAATATAGATAACAAAATTGGCGAAGTTGGTATAGTTTTTCGTAATATTTGTAAATAAGAAAGCCAGTTTGGAAAGATGTCCTCTGATATTGGGTCGGCATGCCTGGCATTTACTGATAGTTCTGCTTATTTATAATTAAACCAATCTCAAGAAACACTCTATTAAAACTCCCATTAAAGGGGAGTAACTGGAGAGTTGTTGATACTAAAGCAGTGTTGTTCTAAGTATCTCTGTATTCTGACTTGTCAGTTACACTTGTGACTTCTAAAAATAATTAGAAGCACTAGTGACATTTAACAGAGACAAACCCACTGTTTACTGGATATCAACAAACTGAACACTTCCTATCCTGAGTAAAATAGCCCATTGGAGGTTGCTGCATAAATCTATCTTCACTGATTTAGTATTAGAAACAAACAAAAAAATCCCCTAAAATGATGATGTCTCTTAGTTATTCTTTATGCCAAAGTAATTAGGCCACTGCTTGATTTTTCTCTCTAGAGAAGAAACACCTTTATTTATTCTACAGTAGTCAGAACTTAAGACTTTGGGTAGAATCAAATGGAACTAAATACAAAAGCTCTTGAAGCATTCAAGAAAAAAAGTTGATAGCAAGTAACAGAGTAAGCAGGTTTGAGTTATAGACTATACAATTAAGATTTCCAAAGTAGTATTATTTTAGTGAAATCCTACAGAAATGTTGTTTCTTTTGATCAGAGAAATTCATGGAAAGGGCCGAAAGACTCTAAATAAAATACTAAAGTACTTCCACGAAGTCTCTAAGTTTCAGCGACCAATGGGGTATAATTTCCCCTTTGAAAAAAGCATAAAAAGGCTGTCAAGGCTAACCATGACATTTAAAAGGTCTCTAGTGCAAAGGCCTGCTTTTTACCACCACTATTCTTGCACTCACTCTACTACCAGGCATTGGAGTGAACCAAATGATAAGCAGCATAAACAAGTATGCCATCACCTTAGATTCTAGCTTCATTTTATATTACCTGTTTTATATTTGATTATGTCAAATAGTAGCAAAAACTTTTGGCACTTGCAAAAAAAATGATTATATATAAAAACTGTAGAGACACAAATCTAGTTTGATGCTTTAAAAGTGCCTCACTTTTACAAACCCTATATAATTTTGGTAATTCTACGAGGGCTGCTAAAACACAAGCTTATATACATAGACACAAAAGTGACTAAAGGTCAGTGGATTAAGGACCGAACATTACAGTTGCTTTGCATGAAAGATTTCCATAACATTAACTGAGAATTTATAGTACATTTAACACTGTTATTGGCACTGTAGGTTCCTAATACCTAGAAGATAATAACTTAATGAGGGAGGCATACATAAATGTCTATACTACAAGGCAGATGTTAATAAGTATTTAAAGTACAAAGTCCACAAAAAATATGGGGAAAGGTGAACCTAATTTCAACTGGAGAACTCTTCAATATCAGCTTGGAGAAAGAATATTTTGAGTTGGGAATAATATAAGGCATATTCTGGAAACAGGCTGGCAATGCTATGAACATAATGGAGGCAGGGGAGAGGAGGGAAAAGGTTATGACACCACTGGCCAGAGAGATGAGCTGGGAATGGCCCTTCAGGGCTGACCCACAGGCCAACCTTACACTGGGTTGATACCTAGTCTCCCTCTGCTTTACTACACTTGTTGAGGTTCCAAGTTATACTTTCAAAGCCTCAGCCTAGCCTTACCTAATCTCATCCACCTGCCCTACCAAGCCCTGGGGTAATCCACCACTATGAATTATAGATTCTCCTACCTGTCTGTAGATCCAACCTCATTTTATGGATGAGGAGACAAAGTCTTCACAGACCAAGTGACTTGCCAGAATGGATTCCAAAGCCTCTAATGTACTGTCCCCCACAAATGGCAACATTCAAGCTAAATTAAATTTTTGACTTTAAAGGTTGGACAAAAGCAATGAGATTTCCTTTTTCACAGTAACAGGGGAGTAATTTTGTGAAGGCATTACATTCTATAACTTTCAAAAATGCTAGTTTTCTAAAAAAAAAAAAGATTCTCTCCTGGCAGCAGTTTATAATATTCTGCAACTAGCTTGACTGAAATTTCAGCATGTGTCTATTCTTCATATTTTAAAATCTACTGCAGTGGGAAAATGGCTGCATTTTTTTTTTCTCCTCTGAGGCTTGTGATGGCTATCAAATCTTTTTTTTTTTTTTTAAAGATTTTATTTATTTATTTGAGAGAGAGAGAGAATGAGAGATAGAGAGCACGAGAGGGAAGAGGGTCAGAGGGAGAAGCAGACTCCCTGCTGGGCAGGGAGTCCGATGCGGGACTCGATCCTGGGACTCCAGGATCATGACCTGAGCCGAAGGCAGTCGCTTAACCAACTGAGCCACCCAGGCGCCCGGCTATCAAATCTTTTTGCAAATAAGTTAAAAGAACCAGATTTAACAAAGACCTGAAGATTTAACATTCAAACTGGGAAAATGGAAATCTAGTTAATGAACTGAAAAATAACAACCAAGCCAAGAAACCAAAACAAAAAAACCCAATTCCTAGAAATAATAATAGCAAATGCACAGTGTTTATGATGTGCCAGGCACTATTCTAGGCAATTTGCATATTTTACAACAACCCTCTGAAGTAGGATGATTATTATTCCTTTTTACACTGAAGGAAACTGAGGCACCAAGAAGCTAAGTAACTTGCCTAAGGTCATGTGGCTAATAATTAACAAAACCAGAGATCAAACTTAGGCAGTCTGGCACCAGACTCCACACTTTTTATTACTATGTGCTATTTTATATTCTGAATGTCTTTACCTAATAAAATTATGAGACCACACTACAAAAGTGAGAAGTGTATAACCAAAGTTGTCTTAACTTTTCAGGTATTTTAAAATAGATTTTCCTACCATCAGTTGCCTTATTTAGCTTCCATGTCATGTTGTTAAGGCCCTGGAGTCTGCCCTGCTGGGGCTATTTACACTGCTTTGTGCCCAGCTGCAATGATCTTCCCCTTTATAGGTAGAGTGCAGGAGGAGGGGTAGAGGGAGAGGGGGAGCGTGGGGGGGGGAGGGGGAGGAGGGAGAGAGGGAGAGAGGGAGAGAGAGGGGGGGAGAGGGAGAGAGAGAGAGAGAGAGAGAGAGAGAATATCTGAATCTGAAGCAGAATCCTTGCTAAGTGTGGAGCCTGATGTGGGGCTCAGTCTCACAACGTAAGATCATGACATGAGCAGAAACCAGGAGTCAGACGCTCAACTGAGCCACTCAGGTGCCCCTCAAGATGATGATTTTTAAGAATGAAACTTGGATGGTCCAGGGCAACACATGTTCATAGGGAATATAAATGCATCCCTTAGATGAATTCCTTCCTTAGCTATATCATCGTCTTTTTCCTCAATAAACATCATAGAGAGAAAGGAGAAAAGGTACTATAATAAACCAGAAAGAAAATGAGCTTTGGATATTTCCAAAGAAACACAATGTTACTACAGTTACGTCTACATCTTTAAATATTTTTATAGTGTGAGTTGGCATAAAAAGATCTCCACACAAACTGTTCAAAGTAGTTGCTCCTTGGGGCGCCTGAGTGGCTCAGTCGGTTAAGCGTCTGCCTTCGGCTCAGGTCATGGTCCCAGGGTCCTGGGATCGAGCCCCGCATCGGGCTCCCTGCTCCGTGGGAAGCCTACTTCTCCCTCTCCCACTCCCCCTGCTTGTGTTCCTTCTCTCGCTGTCTCTCTGTCAAATAAATAAATAAAATCTTAAAAAAAAAAAAGTAGTTACCCCTAAAGGGAGGTGGGGACATGTGGAATAGTTAGAAAAGGACCTTCTATGTTTACTTTAGGCACTTTTGTATTACTTGTTTAAAGAATGTAAATACGCATTACTTTGTAATTAAAACACAAAAAGGAAAATAAAGTAAAAACAGGGTTAGGGCATATGTAAAAATTTTAGTTCATTAACTGCCACTAATAATGTTAACCTATGAGACATTAAGATAAAACAAAGATAATCAGAAGTACTTTAATGAACATCTTTTCACATCAATTTTGCCCAAATTTTTATTTTATTTATTTATTTATTTTTAAGATTTTATTTATTAATTTGACAGAGACACAGCGAGAGAGGGAACACAAGCAGGGGGAGCAGGAGAGGGAGAAGCAGGCTTCCCTCTGAGCAGGGAGCCCGATGCGGGGCTTGATCCCGGGACCCTGGGATCATGACTGGAGCCAAAGGCAGACGCCTAACGACTGAGCCACCCAGGCGCCCTACTTTTGTCCAAATTTTTAATCACTTTCTGGACAATACCCTGAAGAGAAATTACTGGGTCAAAGGAAATGGTAAAATACAGCACATGTGTATGAGAATATTGCACAGCCATTAAAATGATTTTTTACAAGAAATTTAAAAATGAAGTAACACAAACATGCAGTGAAAAAGCAAAAGAGAGAACTCTTTAGAGTATAGTATCATGTACCCACCTATCCATTTACCTAGGAAGGCCCAGAAGGGGATTTAAGTGATTAAATCCTAAGAGTGGCTACCTCTAGATGGTGAAATTATAGGTGGACTTAATTTTCTTCTATTTTTCTACATTTTCAAAATCTTCTGTAGTAAACACTTTTTTTTTTTTAAGAGAGAATGTGCGTGCAGTGGGAGAGGGGCAAAGGGAGAGGAAAAAATCTCAAGCAGGCTCTGAGCCCAGCACAGAGCCCAACAGTGGGGCTGGATCTCATGACCCCGAGATCACAACCTGCACAGAAATCAACAGTCTGAAGCCTAACCAACTGAGCTACCCAGGCGTTCCAATAAGCACACATTGCTGGGGTGCCTGGGCGGCTCAGTTGGTTAAGCCTCTGACTCTTGATCTTCGCTCAGGTCTTGATTTCAGAGTCCTGAGTTCAAGCCCCACATTGGGCTCTGCGCTGGTCATGGGCCTACTCAATAAATAAATAAATAAATAAATAAATAAATAAATAAAATGCTTTAAAAGCTGTATTAAAGGGGAAGGAAAATTTTATAAGTAAAAATGCTGGTGACGAAAATAACAAGAAACATACTTAATCCTGTAAGACAGTATGTATACTCTGACAGTCCTGCTAACCTGAAAAACGATTTAATACTGACCCCAAACAAAATTTCCCCATGTTGCTCATCTTCCCTGTCCTAATTTACCTCATAACTGGTGAATCAGATAAATGTGCCTAATTGTAGAAACCTCTTGCTCACAGTTCTGTCCTGAGTTTTCTCTTCTCCCTCTATGTTCTTACTCATCAAGTATGCTGATGATGCTTCCAAATTTCTGTCTCTAGCTAGGTCTGTTTCCTGGACATAAGGAGATATTTATTCAACTGCTTATTTCTCTCTCTTCCTGTTGGTCCTACAGGTACTTCATCGAATTCATCATCTTCTTCTTTAAACTTGTGAATGGTATCACTACCTACCCACCCAGTTACCTAAGGCAGAAATTCTGGACTCCACTTCCTTCTCTCCCTATACTGACACTATCACCATGTTCCATTAATTATGCCTCTAAATTTCTCTTGACTTTGTCCTCTTTTAATCTCACTACCGTACTAATTCTGGCTACTATCGCTTCTCATTGTAATAGGTGCTTTAAGTTTTGCTCCCTTCTTCAGTCCATTTTGCAGATTTCTTAAAACCCTTAAATGGTCTCCAATGCTCTCAAGAGTTCAAAGACCTCTTCAACAGTCTTTGGCTTCCAAGACCCTATAGGCTCTTACCCTTGCTTCCTTCTCCATTTTTCATTTCCTGCTGTTACTCAATATTATAGTCATCCTAAACTTCATTCAGTTCCTAGAATGGGCCATGCTCTCTTCCCTCTGAGCCTTTCAAGACATAGTTCCCTCCATATGGAACACATGGCTCAATCTTAAAGTTTCAACATAAATTTAACATTCTTTAAGAAGCCCTCCCTAAGGGCTGCCTGGGTGGCTCAGTCGGTTCAGTGTCTGCCTTCAGCTGAGGTCATGATCCCAAGGTCCTGGGATCAAGCCCCACTTGGGGCTCCCTGCTCAGTGGGGAGTCTCCTGCTTCTCCCTCTGTCCCTCCCCCAACTCATTCTCTCTCTCTCAAATAAATAAAAATCGTAAAAAAAAAAAAAGCCTTCCCTAAATCACCTTTGACTGTCACAAAATTACAAGCACTGGGTGTCCGATTGCTAGCTTTCATGGCACCCTACCATGACTAAGAAATACAGTTATCACACTTTGTTAGTGACTATCTGCATTCTCTACTAGACTCTAACTTTCAAGAGGCCATGAGAGTAGGCCTGTTACTAACTTGTTCATCTTTTATCAACAGCACCTAAAATAGCACCTGGCTCATAGAGCTGCTCAATTAACATTTACTAAATGAAGAAATATGAAAGTTTTAAGAAAATAATTATGAAGAGCACTTTTTGGGTTGTGACTCTCAAAGGCTAACAGTATGTGTTGTAGGACAAATCTATAAAAATAAAAATCTCTACGTGGGTGTCCTCTTCATGTAAAAGTTAAAAGCTATCTTACTAGTTTAGTTAAGGGCCTTGTGGCCATAATTCTTTGTGCATAAATATAAGTTGAGACAATGGCATTGTGAGGTAGACAAGGCAGGTATTATCATCTTAACCAAATTTCAAAGGAATTATAAGATTTACCCAAAATAATTCTAGACCAGTGCTTCTTCCAAATATAGTAGTCTAACTTAGTAAGTTAATCATCTCTTGTTAAATAAAGATGATGCTACAGACCAACCACAAGGTGGATATGAACTTTGAACTGTTTATCTACTAACAGAATTGCAGGCATCCACCCAAAGCACTTCTATTTTTGTTCATGTGACCACTAACACGCAGGTATGAGGGCAGATGGAGGAGGGGAGTTTGTTGTAATAGGGCAAAGCAGAGCTAACTGCCTCATGAAGGGGTCGATGCCACGGCCCTGACCTTTAATCAGCTAGAGTTTCCCAACCCTCTTTAATTTCAATGGAAACAAACTTTACTGGAATATCAAGAACATTTAGGAAAAGAAGAAAGGGGTTTAACTTCAATGAAGAAAAAACTCAAACATAATAGATTCTGATATCATGATTTTCTCTGTTCCAGGGAAGTCAGTCTTGATCCGTTTAAATCTGAAATGGGTACCCTATTTAATTTAGGTAGACCCATTCAGGTGCTGAAGAAAGTACACATTTTATATCTGCAAAATCTCAGGACTCTTACTATAAAGAGCTAATGTCAGTCTCAAAAACTCAGTACTTAACATAGTATTACTTTTCATGAAGTCTACTTTTGTGTGGATTTGAAAACTCCATGTTGAAATGCTGTTTTGGTTTTCCCTGTTGCCCTCCCACTATTCTTGGTAGTTTTAGCTTGAGTCACCAGGGTTTTGGCAACCGACCGTAGTAGGGATGAGAACTGCTGAGCAGCAGGTAGACAGTAAGGTGGTAATGGTGGAAAAAACCTGGGATATCCTAATAGATGCAAGGAAACTTTGGGGCACATAAAAGCTTTGATATATATACAGGCAGTTCCCAGCCAAAGTTAGTCACTAAATTACGTCATAACTTGGTAACTGAGATAGAAGCACATACCTGATAGCCGCTACCTTTCCAGAACTTTTTCATTTCCTTACGTCTCCAAGCAACAATTGAGGCAGTAACAAGCGTGCAAGGAACTAAATAGAGGAGAGCAGGCTGCCCCTTCTTCATCAGCACCAGAACAACAAATGTGAGTATCATGCCAACAGCGTAGGCTGTAAGAACACCAATTTATCAGTCATTTCTACATGCTACCAAAGTGGATTTTGACTCCCTTACTGAAGTGGTGGTTTTCAAATGTTTCTGAGGACATTTTTGTCCTATGACTTTTTTCCTGATTTGGGGGGGGGGGGGGACAGCAAAGCAAGGTTTATTGAGGGATAGCAAAGTGATAATACAAAGCTCCCGAGGAGGGAGGGGACCTGAGGGGGTTACCCATATTTTTCCTGATTTTGTTATTTTCCTAGACAGCCATTAGGAGAGACATACATACCTCATTGCTTGTGAAAGTTTGAAAACTGGTTAGTATTTCAATTATAATTACCCTCATCATTAATCATTGACAAAGATAGTAATTCAAAGAAGTCTCCATTATCTGTCACCGTTAAGGATGTTGAGTTGTTGCACATTTTAGATAACTAAAATATGTACCTGTAGGTACTAAAACTTGCTTTGGAAAATCTTCCTCATTTTGATTATATACTTCCTGGACTTCTTCAACAAGTGCATACCAAACATCATCTGATCTTTTCTTCATGACTCAGTGTCTCACCATGAACACAGGATCTCAGAATATTGGAGCTAGCAGAGCCTTCATAGGTCAGTTTACCTCCTGATTTTATGGACGAGGCAATGGAGGACTAGGGAAGTTATGTGAACTGCCCGCAGTTATACAGCACAATGGACAGAGGGCCTTCTTACCTGCCTCTGCACTGAGTGTTCTTGTATTCTATCACACTGACTGGTGCTGGACTTGAATACATTCATGCCCTCAGGCAATACCATTTTCAATAGCCTCGAACTGCTTTTCTTATTTCTTTATAGTTTTTTTTTTTTCCTTTTTATCATCTTTTCACTCACTTAGCTGTTCTTGCTGTCGGGTACCTATTCCTAGTAATAGTCTTCTCTACTGCTAGCATACACTTTTAATTTACTGCATTTAACTCCACTGTGGAATTGAAAACCTTGCCAGAACAGTATCTAAATTGCTCTGGAGCAGGTCACTTACCTAGGAATAAAGAACACTGGTGTATGGACTTCAAGATATCTGTTTGATATGTTTAGAAGTAAAGTATTTTTTGGCTTGCTTCCTGTTCTTGTCTGTTCTCAATAAGAGAAATAGAGGGATAAACGACAACTACTTCTGCTGTCGCAGGTGAGATGTTATTGTGCCATAAATTCATTTATATAAATACATTGTCATTCATATAGTATTTTAAGAAAATCTAATATTATACAATTTATTGTCTACTTGTGTGCCAGATGCTCTAAGAAGCATTTAAGACATAAAATCTAACGATTTTCTTTCACATATAATTTTTTAAACCTCAAAAACTTATGATATAGATAGTAAAGTATTATTTCTTTTTGATGGGAAAACTTGTCTGATTAATTAATGATGAAGAATTAGAATCCAGGACTCTGTATTTTTAGACCTCGACCTTTTCCTATAGACAATACAATTCAACATAATAGAAAAACAAAACAAAAATTTACCAATTGTGGAGGAAACATAGTATATAGAAGAAGAACCAGTCTGAACATCAAATCTTCTACAGTATGCAACCAACAGGCCTAAAAACAAAACAAAACAAAACAAAAAAACCAAAAAACACACCAAACACATTATTTTCTTAAAACAATAACAGCAATACAATTCAACTATTAATTATGGCAACACTACATACTATATTGTATTTAACATTCATTTTTGCATCATGAGAACATTAAGGTACCTCAAATTCTGGACAAAATTGTATATGGTTTTTTAACTTAATGCCATTTTTAAACATTTCCCCAAACCATTAAACAGTCTTTAAAAGCATGAGTTTTTATTAGCTGCTTAATATTCCATGACAGAGAAAATTTTTTTGTATTTTTGTGGTTATAATGTCTCCTCTTTCATTTATGATTTTATTGATTTGGGTTCTCTCTTTTTTTCTTGGTTAGTCTAGTTGAAGGTTTGTCATTTTTAAGATTTTTTTTTTTTATTTATTCATTTGAGACAGAGAGATAGAGAGATAGAGAGAGCATGAGCAGGGGGAGGTACAGAGGGAGAGGGAGATGCAGGCTCTCCGCTAAGCAGGGAGCCAGATGTGAGACTCGATCCCAGGATCCTGGGATCATGACCTGAGCCGAAGGCAGAGGCTTAACCATCTGAGCCACCCAGGTGCCCTAAGGTTTGTCATTTTTATCTTTTTAAAAAACAAACTCTTGGGCACCTGGGTGGCTCAGTTGGTTAAGCGTCTGCCTTCGGCTCAGGTCATGATCCCTGAGTCCCAGGATCGAGCTCTGAGTTGGGCTCCCTGCTTAGCAGGGAGTCTGCTTCTCCCCCTCTCTCTGCTCTTCCCCCTCTCGTGTTCTCTCTCTCTCGCTCTAATAAATACATTTTAAAAAATCTAAAAATAAAATAAAAAACCAACTCTTAGTTTTATTCATCTTTTCTACTGTTTTCCTGTTCTCTATTTCTGCTGTAGTCTATTATTTCCCTCTTTCTGCTAACTCTGTGCTTAGTTGGTTTTTCTTTTTCCAGTTCCCTACATATAAAGTTAGGGTGCTTATCTGCTTTTCTATTTTTCTCGATGTATGTGGTTATCACTATAAACATCCCTCTTAGAACTGCTTTTGTTGCATCCCATAAGTTTTGGATGTTGTTTCTCTTTTCATTTTTCTCAAGGTATTTTTAAATTTCTATTTTAATTTTTTCTTTGATGTACTGGTTGTTCAAAACTATTTTGTTTGATTTCTATGTACTTGTGAATTTTCCAGTTTTCCTCCTGTTGTTGATTTCTAGGTTCATACCATTGTGGTCAGAAAATATACTTGGTATGTAATTTCGATCTTCTTAAATTTGCTAAGATTTGCTCTGTGGCCTAACTTGTGATCTATCCTAGAAAATGAACTAAGAGAGTTGCTACACTGGACTTTGCCATGCCAACTCACAAGGCAGAGCTGTTGGCTTCTCTGTCTCTACCTGGCCTTACTACGTAAATGAAAGGGCTTTTGCAGAAGAGCCTATACTTTTTAGCCCTTCACAGGCAGTTAGTACAGACAGACTGTAAGAAAAGTGAAGGACAAACTCTCAGCTGATTAAGAAAGACTAGTTATTACTTTTAAGTTATATTATTCCTGGGCTGGGATTAAGTTTATTCTATAGGTAGCCCAGTGAGAATAATGCAGAGAAGATACACCATATGCTATATTTTTTGTATTATAATGCCCTAGAAGCTGGTGTTCTGTTTCTTCTCTTGACCATGACCTTGCCTGGTATTCCTAAACCACTTTTCATAACACATAACTATTATTTTAAAATAGAAGTCATAGAAACTGCAATACATGTGGTATTGTTAAATTCAACTTTTAAAGAGTTTTGTTACATACTTTCTTGGGGAAGTAGGTCAAACTGATCCTAGGTGCTTCCTCTAAGACACCTTCTGAGCCATGGGAGATACACTTTGGTTGTTACCATTCGGGCTTTATCTTCTACCCCTCAAAATGCTTTTTTTCTATTTTGGTCACTGATCCCAGCTCTAGCAATAGCCACAAATACTTAACACTAAGAATAAGTTAACTTTTAATAGATACTAAATATTTGGCAATTTTAAACCATCAGTATATTTTTACTGAATTATTACAAACAATTGCTTACCTGGTACAATAATGTCTCCAAAACCCAGTATTGAAACTGGCATGAGGCACACACTCATTACTGAGAAATAGGCCAGCTTTGGTACCCTGATGACTACTGGTAACTGTAATTATGGGGGGAAAAAAAAAAAGGGACTAATAAACCTCTTAGGAATCTTTACCCGTATCTCTTAGAAAAGGAAGGATTGATATTAGAGTAATTGTTTTAACATTTTTAAATAGACATTTTAGAAGAAACTGAAATCAGAGAACATAAACTACACACATATATACTCTGAATGCATAGAGAGCTTGAAAGAAATAGATACACAGTTTCGGAAAAATGAAACCCAACACACATCAGGGTTAACAGTATTAATCCAGTATCCCCACATTTAACCTTTATTTTTTTTTTTCTTTCCTTTTTACCAAAAATAGGACTCAGGCCTTGAAACAGATTTTTTTTAAAATCTGGATTTTTTTCCCCCAAAGAAGAGTCTTGTCTCAGAGGGTATGATTTAAAGTCCAATGAACATATCTGAAATACAATCCTTACTTTCTCATGGGGAGCTGAGGGTTGAGCAGTGGCTTCCACCAAGTTTCCATCATTCTAGGATGAAACCCAAGTCAATAGGTATTTAATAATTTAGAATAACTAAGAAAAGGGCTATATTTTGTGAGAAATAAAGTTTTACAATACCTTAACATGCACTACATGACCAATGAATTACACAGGAAGGCAAAATTATTAACTGGACACACATATATATACTGGTAGCCATTTCTATTTAATTGCCATACCTACCTTTTCATTATTTCCAAAAGGTCCAGCTGCAAGTTCAACCATGATACTCTCGCCATTCTAAAATTGAAGAAGATGAAAGAAATTGCCCAATCATTTAAAGAGAACAATATACCAGTATTTAAGAATGATTTGATCCCCTGGGTAATGGCCTACAGTAAACTGGTAAAAAAATGGGCTGTAGACAGTTTTCCTTAAAAAGTCCAGCAAAAGTTGGGGCCATCTAAAACAAAATTCATCAAGTATATTGCTCCATTCGTTAGAGCTCAACAATGATCACAAACTAGCAGATAAACCACACACAAATTATTCAAGTGAAGCTTTGGGCACTGATCTATACTGACAACTATAGCTAGCATTTTTGATAGACGATAAATTTTAAGTGCTTGTAGTTACATTATGTCATATACTATGTGTCCTTAGTCATTTTTAGCAGTAACAATGAATAGAGACACAAGAAATACTAAAATCTTTTGTATTTAGATTTGTAATAAATATTGGTAACTTTATTTGAATAAAAATACATTTGACCTCCTAGCTCCTCACCATAATAACAATGAAGCCAAACTTGAAAAGACCCAGCCCTGAAGAACTAGAGAAGCTTCTCTAGCCTGTCTCCTGTCCAGTTTCAGCCCTGCCAGATTTTTATGTCCCAATCAAAACATTAACCTTAGCTGAATTTCATCCATTGTGTCTGGCTAAGGTCTTTTTATGTGGGCTGTGTGAGGAGCCCCTTAATAGTTCTTTCCTGACAGCCAAGTCTGTTGTGAAGGGGAAACATTTTAAGGTAGCAAATGAAGATTACATGAGCAGCCATCTATGCTTTACATTATGACGAATATATCATCAAACAGGTAGTGGGAAGATAAATAAATGCTGAATTTAAGGAGAATTTGATCAAGTAACTATAATATTTTCCATGTGAGTGGGGAGCATAGGAAAAATCACTTTAGTGTTTTTAAGAGGACTTCACTGACATCTGAGGGGAGTAGAAAGAAGGAGATAAACTCTAGCTAGAGAAATCTTTCCCTCATGTTACACTTTGGGTTACAGAAGGGTTAAGCCACAGGAGTTTAGGAAAATAGACTAATATTAAACACAATTCCTTACAGCAAACTCCCATAATGTGATTTAATTCCCAGATAGAGTTCATTTTGGTTTTTTAATTGTTATTTAAAACACTTAAGTGAAAGCCATCACTGACATCCTCTCCTACATTCAAAGACATCTGAGTAACTACTATTTGCAATATACTCTACCAAGTTACAAGGGTGGATGGAAGAAAAATGAAGACAGGTTTTTCGAGGTTTTTTTTGTAGAAAGAGAGAGAGGGAGAGGGGGGCGGGGAGCAGAGAGAGAGGGAGAGAGAATCCCAGGCAGGCTCCATGCCCAGTGTGGAGCCCAACACGGGGCTCAATCTCACGACCCTGAGATCATGACCCAGGCCAGGAATCAAAAGTTGGAGGTTTAACTGACTGAACCATCTAGGCAGCCCTGAAGACAGGTTCTTATTGCCTATACTCCTGTGGCCACCTCCTCTGCTTATTAAAACTCTGCTAACACCAGAGTTGAAAGACACGTTTAAAATGTCCAATGAGGGACGCCTGGGTGGCTCAGTCGGTTAAGCGTTTGCCTTTGGCTCAGGTTATGATCCCAGGGTCCTGGGATTGAGTCCGCATCGGGCTCCTTGCTCAGCGGGGAGCCTACTTCTCCCTCTGCCTGCCACTCCCCCTGCTTGTACTCTCACTCTCTCCCTCTCTCTAGCAAATAAATAAAATCTTAAAAAAAAAAAAAATGTCCAATGATTTTCATTTTGAGTTACTTTCTCAAGTAAGGTCTATAGCCTTAATAAAAACAAACAAACCAGACTGAGAAGGTGTTAAAGTAAATCTACATTAGTGAACTCCAAAGAGCATTTCTAATCTTTTCCACCAGATCAGATTACTAGAAATCACATTCCTAGTCACTGGGAACAAATACGGAAAAAAGAAGATGAAAAATTCTCTAGGCAGAGAATAAAGAAAGAGGCCTCAAAGACATCTCTATTATTATCCTGTATCTTTAAAATTCTGAACTTTTTATGTGTAGGGAATGCAAACAGTTTGCTGGCAGACACAGTTAACATTTATAAAGTGATACTAGTGTTAAGACTGAATGGAGGGGCGCCTGGGTAGCTCAGTCTGTTAACCATCTAACTCAATTTTGGCTCAGGACATGATCTCAAGCTTGCGCTGGGCGTGGAGCCTGCTTAAGATTCTTGCTCTCACTCTGGGACACCTGGGTGGCTCAGTTGGTTAGGCATTTGCCTCCGGCTCAGGTCATGATCCCAGGGTCCTGGGACTGAATCCCGCATCGCGCTCCTTGCTCAGCGGGAAGCCTGCTTCTCTCTCTCCCTCTGCCTGCCACTCCACCCTGCTTGTGCTCTCTCTCTCTTTCTGACAAATAAATAAATAAAATCTTAAAAAAAAAAAAGATTCTTGCTCTCCCCCTCCCTCCATCCCTCTTCCTCTAAAAAAACAACAAACAAACAAAACTAAATGGAAAAAAAGTTAAAGGGTTTAGTTACAGTTCATATCTTTGTGCCCTGTGTAATATATAGGCCATATGCTATGACCATCTGCTGACTTAAGAGCATGGTTTTTACAGAGAACGCTTTACTTTCACTATGAGACCACTTTGCAGGGACTTACGGAAATATTTTTTTGAACCAAATAAATTGACACAAACTGGGATGGCTTTAGATAGAAAGCTTTCATTAATTGACTTTTTTTGGTTATAATCCATAATACTAATTTTATTCTTTAAAAAGGTTACTTTTGGGCACCTGGGTGGCTCAGATGGTTAGGCGTCTGCCTTCGGCTCAGGTCATGGACCCAGGGTCCTGGGATCGAGTCCCGCATCAGGCTCAGGAGAACTGAGCAATAAAATACTCGTGAGATAGAAATAGAGACAAGTAGAAAAACGGTAAATAATGAAGGACTACCAAACTCACCCAACACCTCTCCCTTTATTCTGGGAACAGCGTCGCCATTTTATGGAAGAGCTAGTGGTGGGGGTGGGGCTAGGTGAATGAGGAGCTGTCAGCTGCTATGACTCTAACCTCATTGAAAAAGCCAGTCTGGGACAACGAACACAATGGACAGAAGTGGAAAGGGAGAGTATGTGCCCCTGGGTCTAGCTTCTTCTGAGGCCAGCTCCACCTTGGCCTCTATACACAGGCTGGATAGAAGAGACCTTTGTGGTATAGAAGGTTTAGAATGCATTGTCAGTTCCAACCAAAAGAAATCTACTGATGGAAGAGGGAGGCTGGAATGCTAGCAATACTCCCTCACACAATGGATTAGGAACCGGAAGCACAAAGCGCTGAGTGACTTGCCAGGATAACAAGGTTACAGAGCTACACTTCAGGTCTTCAGACTTCCAGTGTGGAGCTCTTTCTTAGTCTTAAAATAGGGGGTACAGAAATGAAAGTAGTAGTGATGCATTTTCATTCTTTTTGCTGTTTATATTGTCTACAGCAAAGATTTGTTGTTTTATAATAAGAAAAGCTGTGGCGCCTGGGTGGCTCAGTCATTAAGCGTCTGCCTTCTGCTCGGGTCACAACCCCAGGGTCCTGGGATTAAGCCCCGCACTGGGCTCCCTGCTCAGCGAGGAGCCTGCTTCTCCCTCTCCCACTCCCCCTGCTTGTGTTCCCTGCTCTCACTTTTTCTCTGTCAAATAAATAAATAAAATCTTAAAAAAAAAAGAAAAGAAAAATTACTTTAAAATGGACAGGAAGAACATGTATAGATATTCTCATGATCAGCCAGGAGACATTTTTCATTTAGCAGAATGACTTAAAGGCTTAAAAAATCCTCTGTTAAAAGGCTAAGTTCAATGACAACTTTCAAAAGAGAATTAGTACCCACTTAATGGTAAACATCTGCAAAATCAGTTCTCTAAGAGCAGGCTTAAGATTCTCTTCTTTTAGCATGTTTCTCACAGATTTCAAAAATATCATACCTTTGTGATGAATGGTGTTATGAAAACAAAAAACACATCATAGAGGAGGAGAAGGCCTAAAAGTATCACACATGACTGTTGAAAAAAGAAAATATTTAAAGGTCAAACTTCCATGTAAATTAAGAGATTATATTGTTTTGCAAGTACGAATAAATATGTGAAATTACATTTGAACACTATTTTTTCAAAGGCATTTAACAGTTATTACTATTTGTAGTTTTATTCTACAAATCACATTAGAAATTTTATCTTGTTTATCCCATTCTTTAAAAAAAAAAGAATCACTAACTCAAAGAAATGTTCTTCGTTGATATTTTGTCTGTAAGGATTTTATGAATTTGGCATATTATATAAATGATTAAAAATATTTTAGCTAGCAAATCAGTGGTTGGCTACAGCTGGTGATTAGGACTGACTGCTAAAGGGCAGGACAGAGCTTTTGAAAAGATGAGAAATCTATAATTGATTGGGATGATGGCTACAAAGTTATTCATTTATAAAACTTCATAAACTGTAAACTTAGGATGGGTACATTTTGCTACATGTAAATTATACTCAAATAAAGTTGTTTTAAAAAGAAAAAATTAGGGCGCCTGGGTGGCTCAGTCGTTAAGTGTCTGCCTTCAGCTCAGATCATGATCCCAGGGTCCTGGGATTGAGCCCCGCATCAGGCTCCCTGCTTAGCAGGGAGCCTGCTTCTCCCTCTCCCACTTCCCCTGCTTGTGTTCCCTCTCTCACTGTGTCTCTCTCTGTCAAATAAATAAATAAAATCTTTAAAAAAAAAAAGAAAAAGAAAAAGAAAAAATTATTTTACCTAGCAAAGCCGTATACTTTACCTTGAAGTTGGGTAACTTCAGTGTTTTAATTAAATTCAGACAGAAAGCAATCCCCAAGATATCCTGTAAAATCCAAGCCCACCTAAAATCAAAAGAAGTTACTCTATTGGTTTATGTAGTTCTTCTTAGATGGGACTTTTCAGAAGAAATTGATCACTAACTTCAATTGTTATGATTTGACTATCTGATTATTAAGCAGCAAGTATAATGACAAAAAACCTCTCATATACTCCGTATTTATTAATTTGCTGTCCTAGTAGAATAACGAACACTACTATACTAAGGAAAAGTTGAAAGGCTACCTCAGAACATACATTGGATATAGTACATACTTATCTTTAACCTTTGAACTTATACATGTTTCTTTTGGAAAGGTAGCTCATAACAAAGGATATTGGTGTTAACATATGTCCAGATAGTTGGAATCTAAAGGAAATGAGAGCTATGTAACATAATCTACCAGGAACTGAAATGCATAATTATCAACTGAAGCTGCCTAAATTGTATTAAACTTTGCTTCCAAATTTTAGGCTATAAGTGGTTTTGGCCTTTAATAATTTTATTAATAAACCATTAAGAAGTTAAACATTTTTTTCTGGTTATCCTTCCTGCAAATGCACAAATACCTGTATATTTCATTTCCTTTCTTACATAAAAGGTAGCATACTCTATATATAATCTTTTTTCACTTAAAAATACATCCTAGAAATCACTGCATATCAATTCACAGAGATCTTCTTCATCCTTTATAGCCGCATTGTACTTCATTGTGTGGATATACCATAATTAAGTATATTTTTGAAGCCTATTTCAGCTTAGATGTTTAAATCATAACACACATTTTCTTGTCTATATGACCTTAAATCCATTAGCACAAGATCTGTTTATTTAAGTACTTATTTAGCTTATTTCAAGACTATGGTGTTCTGGGATAAAAGCAAAAAGAAATCTGTAATAATCATAATGCGTAATTACCAAGTAAGACGTAAAATCATGCATCCTTAATTTAAAAGCAAATACACTGAATACTCATACCTATCCTCATTTCTAAATACGCCCCAAACAACAGCTACTGCTATGCACAGTCCAGAGAGAAAAATAAGTCTCACTTCAATGTTTTTGCCACGAAACATAATCCTAAAAAACAGATTGAAATAGGTCAGTTTACTCTGTAGGTGAAATATAATGTTCACTTAAACATGGGACATGACAAATGTTAACCACAGTCACAAGAAAGCTACTAAAATATCAACTTAAAAGTCCTAATTTAAGTAAAACAAATAATACATCAAGAAATATTTATCAGTTCAATAGAACTGTCTATGATGAAAATGTTCTGTATCTGTGCTGCCCAGGACAGTAGCCACTAGCTACATGTGGTTATTTAGCATTTGAAATGTAGCTAATGAGACTGAGGAACTGAATTTTTAAATTAATTTAATTTTAATTAATTTAAATTTTAATAGCCACATGTATATTGGCTTACAAAGGTTTAAAATACCACTTCTACTTTTCCCTGTATTGTTTTCAATTACAAAGACCAATGTCATCAGATTCCTTGTAAGAGATACATACGTGCATCGTCCACATGGTATCTTATGAATGAGTGCAGCAAGACAGTTGTACAGACTCATTGCTGATGCTATGCAGAAAATTGCTATCATAACATAAACTAGAAAAAAACAAGACACTAAATTATATGAGAACAGAAGGAAATGTGATCAGAAAATATTTATACAAGCACCATTAATCTAGCTTTCTTACTGCATCGTGATACTTTCAATGCAGTGACCGTATTATAATCTGAATTGGTTACTAAGCTGAAAATATTTAGATCTTGAGTTTTATTGAAAAGTGGGCATTTTATGTGTTGTTTTAGTTCCATTACACATTGGTAGGATTGCTCAAGGGCTGAAGCTGGCTCTACATTTTCTATCATTCAATGATTCAAACTAATGTGTCTGTTAGAGATGTCTATGAAGTGAGCTGTAGGCACTTATAAGTACTTAAATGTAAGGAATGGACAAATTAAGGAAGGAGTAGAAATGCTTTAAAAATGCAGCTTAGGGATGAGAACTGACATCTAACTTAGACATTAACCATGCTATTTATATTTTCCTCTGGTGGAATTTATCTCTAATTATTTGACCTGCAGTAAAACCAAATCCATTTAAACAAACCACTGTTATGATATGAAACTAAGGTAGTTAAATTCACAAATATTTGTGTATATTAGCTATACTTTTTTGAAAATTATTTAAAATTACATCTGATCTCCTTATTCTTAAAAAGGGGGAGAAATTATTTTACTCTAAAATAAAATATTCATTTTAACTTTCTCAAAATTTCACAATGGAAATACAAATTTTACCTGACTTTTTCATATTCTACTAAATTTCAGAAAACTGTAACTGTTCTGTAGGTGAGAGAGAGTACTCTAGATATGGTAAATCAGGGATAGCCACTTTCTTTCTTCTTCTTTTTTAAATCAATACAGCTTTTATTGCACCTTTAAAATGTCACAGAAAGTCTGAAAAATCATCTGGCATCTTGTTATTTCTGCAGCTGGACAACTTGGATCTTATTCATGAGTCTGCAGAACTGTTCCTTTTTCAGAAACACAGATACCATCCCCAAATTTTCTGATATCCTTGTTTTTAACTGTTGGCCACTTTCTAACTGGTGAACTTGGACAAATTACTTTTTTAGTCCCTTGTTATTATTTGTTATTTATTATTACTAGTTATATATGGTAATGTGAGCAGTAAAAGAAAGACAAAGACTGCCAAGTTATGTTTGGTAAGTCATCCACCAAAGGTCGCCAACCCAAGTTTTAAAAGTTAGGTAGAAAGCATGTTCTTGAGACCCTAACAGAGTTTTGGGTATTTCATTCAATGTCATAGTATCCTAGGAAAATGATTAGGCATGAGAATGCGTCTGGTTAATATAATCATCTTTAGTTACTTTCTTGAGCATGACAACATAAAATGGTAGGGGGGACCTTAGCAATTTGATATATTTCGTATATTAAAAATGGCAACTTTAGCCATTAGGAACCATTTGGAGGTACATTAAACCTTGCAATATCACATAGATTTTGTAAGAGTCATAACTAACTCCCATGTCCCAGGATAACCATGAGGTTTAATGATCTTCCTTCTACACAAAAAATTACATTTATAAGCAAGGTCAACTTTTCAAATACCGGTAAGTTTAAGGCAATTTCTCACCAAAAATGAAAATATGTTTTAGGGTAAGGTAGAGGAATCTCTTTTTTCTATCAAAGATCACTAATTAATTGACTGAGGGTCAGACACAAACAACTGAAGGCTAAGTATTAAATTAGAAAAATTAGCTGCACAATGACAATACAAATAACTATCCTAGTATCTACTCTCCCAGCAACAGATTGAAATGAGCGACATTCAAATAATTTTTTTCTAATTGGAAATATAGGTCACAGGTCTAGTTTTTAATGCTGCCACAGGACAGGAGAAATTGGACAATAAGCTGAAACTAACCCGAGTGCCTCAGTTTTCTAGTCCAGAAAATCGTGCTAATGTTCTCCAAAGAAGAACTGTAGCCTGTGGTGGTTTTTACAAAGGGTTTTTGCTAGTTCCTACCAGGCACACTTATTTTAGAGTAAAATAATTTCTCCCCCTTTTCCCCAGCGCCTCCTCTTTGTGCTGTGCATTGGCCAGAGATAGCAAATTTCCATTCTTTCAGACCACTAACACCCAGGGGATGGGCAAGCCCTTACAGTTCCTACCCCTACCTTCTTAAAGGAAAAGTACCCGTTATTATTTAGACCACAGGCAAGTACTTGTGTGTCTTTAGATGTAGTAGGATCTTGACTGTTTACACAAGTCCAACAAAATTTGAGGAATACATCTTGTTTGGTACACTGACAAAAGAACAAAGCACACTTTGGGGGTAAGCAGAGGCAATAAATTAGTAATCTGAATAATCTTCTATTTCGTGTAACTAAATATAGTCACCAAGAAGTCCTTAGTCTGCTGCTTAGATACTGGGCTCTCCAGCTTTATCTGCAGAGATGGAAACTTAGGGACCACAGCAGTTCTTTCAAGTCATCCATGAAGAAGTGTTCTTATCTCAAAGACATAGGATACTTTTAATCTGAATATTTTTTATCCCAGAGTGATGGGGATCCAACACTTCTGACAGTTTAAAAAGTTAACATCACTTAATTATTTGGTTAAGCTTTCTGGGCATAATACCTTAAATCTAGTGAAGTAAATAAAAAACTTGTAGGCTGAAAGCAGCAAATATAAAATATGACTTCTTACCCAACCATTTGTAGAAGAAATAAAGTAAGACCATCATAACACAGCACACGACCACAAATATTACAACTGTTAGAGGACTAAAAGTTAAATATTCTTCCTTCTTTCTCCTCATTTCTCTGTCTTCAGTGTTTGTCACTGCCTTCATGCTCTCCCTGTATAAACATACACAGGAACTTCAGCAAATCTCTGCCAAGTACAGTTATTTTTAAAATCTATTTCCAATACCAACTTAAATTTGTTTCTGATTACAAAGTAATATACTTTAAAAAAAAGAGCATACCAAACAGAAAATAACTTAATCTAGAAAGTAAAAGTCCCTATAATTCTACCCTCCAGAGATGATCTGTTATTAACCACTAACTTTTGAAACAGCAATTTTTCTGGAAGTGAAATTGTTGAAGCAGATGATATTTATCATATAAATAAATTAATGTCTGGGGATGTTTATATTATCTAATTTGAAAACTATATTGATGTAATAAATTTCAGATGATAATCAGGTTCTTTTTACCCTACCAACTTACAGATAGCAAAGTACTTCTAAAATTAGCTTCTCTTAAATGTAAACACAAAATTCTTCTTTTAATCAACTCAGTACTCACTGGATGCCTGTTCTGTGCTCGTCAGTGTATTATGAAGGAGTCAAAAGAAGTTCAAGACATAGCTTTGTCCTACCTTGAGTTAAGATAACAAAATATTGTTTTTAATTCTCTCAACAACGCTTGCTAAGTCACACAGCTAATAAAAGGCAGGGATGAAAGTTGAAGAGGAAAGAGTCAGTCATGTCCTTTGTTGAGCAGTCTCTGTTCTGTCATCTTATTGTCTCTTTCCAGCTATATGGAACCTACTACATACTCTTCCACCTTCAGTCCCTTCAACTCTGACTTATTAAACTCATTCCCTTGGCATACATCCTGACCTTTCTCATCAGGTCTAGGCTTAATATAAACTTTAGGTTAAAAAAAAAGTTTATCTCTATCAAATTGTACATTTGCCAGACTGCTTATTTACCAACATACCACTTTCTTATTAGAAAATTGTTAATTGGGATGGTCACTATATTAAGCATCTGTGACTCTAGGGAGGCTGCCTGGGAAAAGAGTACGGAGAGGGTTTGGGGACAGTCCACTAGCACATTCTAGCAACTGCAGAGCTGGATGACAGAGTATTGAACAGAAGTGTCAATGAAAGTAATATCTGAGTGGGAAAAGGTGCCAACTTTTGGTATCTGTCATTGCAAACAGATATATTTAAAGCTATTTTTATTATAGTGAAAAATTTATATATTCACATATGTCATAGTGAAAGATTTATATATTCTTATTTAGTATACCAGTTCTCCAGGTAGAATGTTTTAAAGGAAGAGATAAGGGTGGCTGGGGTGGCTCAGCTGGTTATGCATCTGCCTTCGGCTCAGGCCATGATCCCAGGGTCCTGGGATTGAGCCCCGCATCGGGCTCAAAATGTCTCCAAAATGACATTAAGTATATATTTATCAATAATTCCTTTGAATGTAAATAGATGAAATGCTCCAATCAAATGACATAGGGTGAGAGAATGGATTAAAAAAACAAGATCCATCTATATGCTGCCTAACGAGACTTCATAAACTCAAGCTTCATAAACTCAAGATAGCATGAAAGAAAGTTTAGCTTTCATTATATGTGGCTCTTGAGCTGATTAGGAGTACAGTGTTTTAAAAAGATGAATTGTAGGGACCACGACCTGAGCTGAAGGTAGACACCCAACAACTGAGCCACCCAGGCGCCCTGAGTTACTTGTTTTATAACCAAAAGTTTGTACCTTTTGACAATCTTCACTCATTTCACCCACCCTTAAATCCCTGCCTCCCGCAACTACCAATCTGACTCTCTGATCTTTGAGTTCCTTTTCTGTTTGTTTGTTTCTACATATCAGTGACATTATACAGTATTTGTCTTTCTCTGATTTATTTCATTTAGCACAGTGCCTTCAAAGTCCATCCATTTTGCTGCAAATCCTGCTTATGTTCTTAATCATTCTTCTTCTTACAGAACTTGTTTCCTTTTTGTCACTGATTCATATTCTCTTTCCTGTATTGTATATACACCCCTCCCCAACCATTCCCACACATACACTTAGTTCTATCTTTATCCTACTTTTTAGAATCAGCCACCACAATTTCAAAATCCATAATCTTGAAAGAGAGAATTTTAAAAACAGCAAGACAAAACATTTATATACAAGGAAAACCCCATAAGGTTATCAGCTGATTTTTCAACAAAAACTTTGCAGGCCAGAAAGGGTGGCATGATATATTCAGAGTACTGAGAGGAAAAACTCTGCAGCCAAGAATACTCTGTCCAGCAAGGCCATCATTCAGAATAGAAGGAGAGATAAAGAAGTTCCCAGACAAGCAAAAGTTAAAGGAATTCATCACCACTAAACCTGCTCTACAAGAAATGTTAAAGGGGACTCTTTGAGTGGAAAGGAAAGACCATAAGTAGGGAGTAAGAAAAGTAGGAAGCACAAAAGCAGTAAAAATAAGTATATATATAAATATCAGTCAAGAGACTCACAAGATAAAAAGATGTAGAGTATGACACCACATACCTAAAACATGGGAAGTGGGGAGAGTAAAGAATGAGTTCAAACTTAAGCAACCATCAACTCAATATAGACTGCTACATGCAGATGTTATATACGAACCTAATGGTAACCACGAGTGAAAAACCAGTAAAACAAATGCAAAATATAAAAAGGAATCCAAGTATATCACTAAAGAAATCCAACTAATTGTGAGAGAAGAGAGCAAGAGAAGAAACATAGAACTACAAAAACAACAAAAATAAAACAAGTAACAAAATGACATTAAGTACATATCTATCAATAATTACTTTGAATGTAAATGGATGAAATCCTCCAATCAAAAAACATAGGGTGAGAGAATGGATTAAAAAAACAAGATCCATCTATATGCTGCCTAACAAGAGACTCATCTCAGACCTAAAGACACATACAATTGAAAGTGAAGGAAGAAAAAGCATTTATCATGCAAATGGGTATGAAAAGAAAGCCAGGGTAGCAATACTTATATTGGACAAATTAGACTTTAAAATAAAGACTGTAACAAGAGACAAAGAAGGACAGTATATAATAATAAAGGGGATAATCCAACAATAAACTCTAACAATTGTACATATTTATGCACCCAACATGGAAGCACCCAAATACATAAAATAGTTAATAACAAACATAAATAAGTGATAGTAATACAATAAGAGCAGGGGACTTTAACACCCCACTTACATCATAGGACAGATAATCCAAACAGGAAATCAACAAGGAAACGGTGGCTTTGAATGATGCACTGAACCAGATGGATTTAACAGATATATTCAGAACATTCCATCCTAAAACAGCAGAATACACATTCTTTTCAAGTGGACATGGAACATTCTCCAGAACAGATCACATATTGGGCCACAAGTCTCAATAAATTAAAAAAGATCGAAGTCATACCATGCATCTTTTCTGACCACAATGCTATGAAACTGGAAATCAACCACAAGAAAAAATCTGGAAAGACCACAAATAACATAGAGATTAAAGAACATGCTACTAAACAATGAGTGGGTCATTTAAGAAATCAAAGAAGAAATCAAAAATTACATGGAAACAAATGAAAATGAAAATAAAATGGTCCAAAATCTTTGGGATGCATCAAAAGTTGTTTGATGAGGGCAGTTTATAGCAATACAGGCCTACCTCAAGAAGCAGATCTCAAATAAACAATCTTACACCTAAAGAAGCTAGGAAAAGAAGAAACAAACCAAAAACCAGCAGAAAGAAGGAAATAATAAAGATGAGAACAGAGAGAAAGGAAATAGAAACCAAAAAAAACCAACAGAATAGTTCAAAGAAACCAGGGGCTGGTTCTTTGGAAAGACCAACAAAATTGGTAAACCTTCAGTCAGACTCATAAAAAAAAAAGAGAGAACTCAAAATCACAAATGAAAGAGTAGAAATAACAACCAACACCAGAGAAATACAAAGGATTGTAAGAGAATATTATAAAAAATTATATGGCAACAAATTGGACAACCGAGAAGAAATGGATAAATTCCTAGAAACATATAACCTCCCAAAACTGAATCAGGAATAGAAAATTTGAACAGACTGATTACGAGCAATGAAATTGAATCAGTAATCAAAAAACTCTCAACAAACAAAAGTCCAGGACCAGAAGGCTTCACAGGTGAATTCTAGCAAACATTTTTTTTTTTTTAAGATTTTATTTATTTATTTGACAGAGAGAGAGAGAGAGACAGCGAGAGAGGGAACACAAGCAGGGGGAGTGGAAGAGGGAGAAGCAGGCTTCCTGCTGAGCAGGGAGCCTGACACGGGGCTCGATCCCAGGACCCTGGGATCACAACCTGAGCTGAAGGCAGACACCCAATGACTGAGCCACCCAGGCGCCCCGAATTCTACCAAACACTTAAAGAGGAGTTAATACCTATTCTCAAACTATTCCAAAAAACAGAAGAGGAAGGAAAGCTTCCAAATTCATCCTATGAGGCCAACATAACCCTGATACCAAAACCAGATAAAGACACTATAAAAAGAGAACTATAGACCAGTAACTCTAATGAACATAGATGCATAAATCCTCAACAAAATATTAGCAAACCAAATCCAACAATAAATTTTTAAAAATGATTCACCACAATCAAGTGGGATTTATTTCCAGGATGCAAGGGTGGTTTAATATTTGCAAGTCAATCCACATGATACATCACATTAATAAGAGAAAGGATAAGAACCATATGATCATTTCAATAGACACAGAAAAAGCATTTAACAAAGTACAACATTGATTCGTGATAAAAACTCTCAGCAAGGTAAGTTTAGAGGGAACATACCTCAATATAATAAAGGCCATAATCATACTCGATGGTGAAAAACTGAGAGCTTTTCCCCTAAGGTCAGGAACAAGACAAGGATGTCCACTCTATTTTTATTCAAATAGTACTGGAAGTGCTAGCCACAGCAATCAGACAAGAAAAAATAGTAAAAGGTATCCAAATTGATAAGGAAGAAGTAAAACTTTCACTATTTGCAGATGACATGATACTACATATAAAAAACCCTAAAGACCAAAAAACTACTAGAACTGATAAATGAATTCAGTAAGGTCAGAGGATACAAAATCGATTTACAGAAATCTGTTGCATTTTTATACACTAATAATGAAGTAGCAGACGGGTGCCTGATGGCTCAGTCAGTAAGGCATCCAACACTTGGTTTTGGCTCAGGCAGGATCTCAGGGTCCTGAGATTGGGCCTCCTGTCAGGCTTTATGCTCAGCGTGGAGTCTGCTTGTCCCTCTCTCTCCCTCTCTGCTTCTCCCCATGCAATCTTCTGTCTCTCAAATCAATAAATTAAATCTTCAAAAAAAATGAAGTAGAAGAGAAATTAAGAAAACAATTCTACTTACAATTATACCAAAAATAGTAAAATACCTGGGAATGCACTTAACTGAAAAGGCCAAAGACCTGTACTCTGAAAACTATAAAACACTGATAAAAGAAATTGAGGACAACACAAACAAATGGAAAGATAGTCGTGCTCATAGATTGGAAGAACCAATATTGTTAAAATGTCCATACCACCCAAAGCAGTTTACAGATTTAGTGCAATTCCTATCAAAATAGCACCAACATTTTTCACAGAACTAGAATAAACAACTCTAAAATTTGTATGGGATTACAAAAGACCCTGAATAGACAAAGCAATCTTGAAAAAGAATTAACAAAACCGAAGATATCATAATCCTAGATTTGAAGATATACTATAAAACTGTAGTAATCGAAACAGTATGGTACTGGCACAAAAGAGGACATATAGAGAGCCCAGAAATAAACCCACGATTATATGGTCAGTTAATCTTCGACAAAGGAGGCAAGAATATGCAATGAGAAAAAGTCTCCTCAACAAATGGTACTAGAAAAACTGAACAGCTCCATGCAGAAGAATGAAACCAGGCCATTTTCTCACACCATACACAAATATAAACTCAAAATGTTACCTGACATCTATCAGAAGGATTAGATCAAAAGACAAGAAATATCAAGTTTGGGGAGGATGTGGAGAAAAAGGAACGCTTGTGCAGTGTTGGTGGAAATGCAAATTGTTGCAACCAGTGGGAAAATAATATGGAGCTTCCTTAAAAAATTAAAAAGTAGAGGGGCACCTCGGTGGCTCCGTCAGTTAAGTGTCTGCCTTTAGCTCAAGTCATGATCTCAGTGTCCTGGGATTGACACAGGGCACTTACCCCACCCCCCACCCCTGCTCATGCTCGCTCTCAAATAAATAAATAAAATCTTTAAAGAAAATTAAAAATAGAATTACCATATGATCTAGAAATTCCACCACTGGGTATTTACCCAAGAAAATGAAAACACTTATTTTAAAAGTGTCTATTACAGGGGCGCCTGGGTGGCTCAGTCTTTAAGCGTCTGCCTTTGGCTCAGGTAGTGATCTCAGGGTCCTGGGATCGAGCCCTGCACCGGGCTCCCTGCTCAGCGGGAACCCTGCTTCTCCCTCACCCACTTCCCCTGCTTGTGTTCCCTCTCTCAATGTGTCTCTGTCAAATAAATAAATAAAATCTTAAAAAAAAAAAGTGTCTATTAGAGCATTATTCACACTAGCCAGATATGGAAGCAATCAACCCCAGTTTCCAACCACAGATGAACGGATAAAGAAGAAGTGGTGTATATATATACAATAGGATAGGATATTACTTAGCCCTAAAAATGAATGAGATATTGCCATGTGCAACAATATGGATGGACCTAGAGAGTATAATGTTAAATGAAATAAGTCAGAGAAAGACAGGTACCATATAACTTCACTCCTACATAAAATTTTAAGAAACAAATGAACAAAGTAAAAAAAAAAAGAAAAACAAAAAAACAGGCTTGTAAATACAGAAAGCAAATTGGTGGTTGCCAGAGGGGAGGAAGGTGCAGGGATGGGCAAATAAAGGTGATTGAGAGTACATTTATCTTGGGGCGCCTGGGTGGCTCAGTTGTTAAGCGTCTGCCTTCGGCTCAGGTCATGGTCCCAGGGTCCTGGGATCGAGCCCCACA